GCTCCGGGCCCATTTCACCTTCTCGTGAAGTGCTTGGTCCTTGCTGATCACGGCACCTGTCGCCACCGGGGATGCCCGTGGGGGGGATCGAATGCTCACAATAAAAATTGATCATAGACATACACACATATACGTTATAATTATATATGTATATGCCTACATATATATATATATAATTATATGTCTATATATACATACAACTATATATATACATATGTAGGCATATATTTTTATATAATTTCTGAATATATATGTGTATATATATATTAAGCTACAGTATAACCAACGGTTCTTGTATATTTTTCAAAGGTCCTGAAAATAGTGGTCATGATGTTGCACCGATTCACGCCAATGGTGTCGCCTCCCGTCATGATGTTGTGCCCCTCGTAGTACTTGGTCAAGCTCTGAATCACCATGTCTGCACCCCAGTCCAGCGGACGACAGATCACCTTCCCGAGAAATGCTTGGTGAAAGGGCGGGCTTAATGCATGGGCTGAATATGGGCTTAACCATGCTTACAATGATAGAAAATGATAGAAATAGATTATAACTTACAACATTCATTTTAAATGCTGAAAGGCACATTTGAAGCACTCATCCAACAATTAGGATTGGCTCAAAATCACTGACTGCACGAAATTACATTGTTGAATATTTAAAGCGACCATCTTTTATGGGTCCATTGGCCCAAAGAAATACTGTATTAGGCCACGACCAATTCTTCGGAATCTGAAACAAACATCGGAAACAAACACCTATAAGTCTTTAAGCAATTGTTGAAACATTCGAAACAACCATCTGAGGTCTGTCACAATCACTTCCAGTAACATCAAATACGCCTCTAGAAACCATGGTTTCGTACTGGATCTATTCATTCTGGGGGCCCGCTTTGGGAGGTTGCATCTTCCACGTCGTTTCAGCATCTTGGGTGCGGACAGGTGTTGCAAAGGTCGCATCAACCACATGCTTTGCGCCTGCGTCCTGCTGGAGCTCTCAGCTGACGCAGGGAGTTTACCCTCTGGTAAACTAACAGTTTGCTATTGAGAATGGTCATTTATAGTTGATTTACCCATTAAAAATTGTGATTTTCCATAGCTATGTTAGTTTACCAGAGGGTATCCATTTTAAAGAACCCAAATAGCAATAAAAAGGAATTCACTGTGTTTAGCGATGAATCTGATATTTTTCAAGAAAAATGAATAGCAGCATCTGGATGGTGGTTACTGTAACACAACCTTCAGCTCTGAAGTCATATGCGGGCCACACGCCTTGCAAGCCTTTTCTCAAAGGAGATATCAAGAAGGCCACAATTGAATATAGTAATGTAGGTAAAACAAGAATAAACCACCCATTTGGGAATGGTTTTACCCACATTACTACATTTAATCCTGGTTGACTCTTTTTCAAAGCAGGGTAAGCATGAAGATCCGTGTTTTGCACAGAGTAAGGGAGAAGTGTGGCTGTTACAAGGCCCCGGAAATCGCATTTGGAACTAGTTTTAAAAAATGGTGATGGATCATGTTTCCCCATTTCAGCCGGTCTTGGGTTCTATACCATGTCACAGTTGAGGACCGTATACCCTCATTTTACCCCCTCATCGTGATATGTAAATATACATACACATAAATACGTATGAGTGTAGGTATGTATGTATGTAATGGAATGGAATGGAATGGAATGGAATGGAATGGAATGTAATGGAATGTAATGTAATGGAATGGAATGTAATGGAATGTAATGGAATGTAATGTAATGTATGTATGTATATGTGTGTATGTATGTATGTATGTATGTATGTATGTATGTATGTATGTAGGTAGGTAGGTAGGCAGGTAGGTAGGTATTTATTTATTTACTTATTTATTTATTTATTTAAAAAAAAAACTGATACATATGCTAACATACATGTACACATACATACAATTACATGTAGGTGTGCCTGTATATCAACGGCGGTTCACGGCCTTGGCGATCTTGGAGACAGCCTCGATGTCGGTCAAAGACCTCGGCACTTCCCGAGGATGAGATCCTAAAAGAGGTAGCCTCACCCTGGTAAACGTGGAACCCCCATGAAAACCCATGGTATAGAAATGGTGGATTTTCTACATCTATCTTACGTAGTTTACTGGTGGGTACTTTGCAGTTTGCTATGGAAAATAGTCCGTTTATAGATGATAAAAATGATGATTTGCAGATGAAACATGGTGACTTCCCATAGCTACGCTGAATAACCAGACGGCAGATATGCCACCACCATGTCATGTACGTATCCATACTTCACTGTGTCATGTCATACATCTATATTTTTACATATATATATATATACACATTTGTTTTATAAGTATGCATGCATATTATCACAACAATACATCTAGATTATGTATATATACCTTTCAAGACACCAGATTTTTCATAGGGGGTTCGCCGCCATCCAGCCAAGGAACAAGACAGGGTTTGCAGGGGTCTCACTGAAGACCAGCTTGGTGTTAGGCTTCATGGCCTAGTTTTGATTGGAAAATCTGACCCAAAATGTTTCGAATACACATGGAAAAATCAAAGAAATGATGGAATGACCCCATGATTATTGATAATTGACGATTGGAATGAAAAATTGTGTTGTGGATGAAAATGACCCCATTATCCTTGATTACGATGATACTGGAACGGCCCGAATTTGTTTCTGAATCATTGATCACCAGATTTTGCGATGATGATGATGATGATGATGATGAAGATGATGATGATGATGACGATGATGATGGTGATGATGATGATGATTCGATGATTCGATGATTCGATGGTGATGATGATGATGATGATGACGATGATGATGATGCTGATGATGATGATGATGATGATGGTGGTGATGATGATGATGCTGATGGTGATGGTAAAGGTGATGATGATGATGATGATGATGATAATAATGCTGATGGTGATGATGATGAGGAGGAGGATGAGAATAATGGCCGAAGGGAGTTTAGAAGTCAAACTTCCGACAATATGGACAGATGGAAACGCAGAGGTGGGAAAAGTCAGAGAAGAGAACAGAAGAAGAGAGAAGATCAGAGAAGAGAAAGAGTCAGAAGAAGGAAGATGCACGTGCCGGAAAAGGTAGAAAAGTCGCGAAACATTGTTTTTCCAATGATTTGTGGCTCCGGAAGGTCGAAAAGTAGGCTGGCTAAAGCGGCGGGTGCGGAGCCATCTGGCTAGATGCGGGATAAAAAATTACACGCCGTTGTAGCGCGAAGCACATTTGGAAGTCAAAATGTAGAAAGCACCTCAGCCTCGGACCATTTTTGGAAGTTGAGATGTCGAAAAGTGCACGCCATTGTGGCGCGAAGCACATTTCCAAGTCAAAATGCTAAAAACACCACATGTTCGGACCACCTTTGGACGTTCAGATGCTGTTTCGCGTGGCAGGCGCAAGGGATTCTGCACCTTGTCAAAAGTGAGTAAAACGTGAGGGTTTTGTAGCAGTTTCAAAAGCGCTCGGCAGGCGTGGGACATTTGAAGAGATGCATTTCGCGTGGCAGGCGCAATACAAGAGACATGTTCATTAACCCAGCTTTGCAACCCAACAGCATACCTGAATCTTCCACCTACGTCTTTTTTCAGACCCTGTGCCAAAGTCCTGTTTTTTCAGTACCCAGAAAACTTTTCAGGACCTACTCTCAAATTCAGGACCTGGCCATTTTTGGGGTATCAATGGTAATGGCAATCATTGGGTGCAAACATGTGAAACCAACATTTGGTGGATATTCAAGCCATTGGCATTGATCCACGCAAATAAAAGCACTCCCAGCCCAAACTCATGGCAAGGCAGGATCAGAATATAGTATATTCCAGAAAGTATGTCAGAATAGATGCCAGATAGGATGCCAGAAAGAATGTCAAATAGAATCTCAGAAAAGAATGTAAGATAGTATGTCAGAACATATATGCCACATATACGTCCAGATGATATGTCAGAAACTATGTCAGAATAGTGTGTCAGGGTGGGGATCACTCTTAGTAAGGCAATTTTGAAAATATATTTCAGGTTCGGAATTTTCAAACTGTTGTCCTTCAGGCGCCGAAGCTCCCGTTGAAGGTCAGCATCGCCCCATGTCAACTGGTCCAGTCCCACTTCCATTTCAACAAGTCCAACTTCATCGATTAGGGTGTTGGTTGAATGGACTTGGGACTCTAGCTGGCACGGCATCCCTTGTAACCCTGTAGACACTGTAGTGGGCAAAAAGATTGTAACACACAGAATCAGCATCATTTTGATCAGGCATTCTTTTTGCTAGTCCTTTCTCCCTATTACGAAAAATACCCCCAAATGACAAAAACTAGGTGCGATTTCCAATTTTGGGAAATGTCAAATTGGTTAATCTGATTTTTAATTGATCCCCTTGAGGAAACAATTTTAAAAATGAAGGTACCATGTGAGGGTTTCACCCCCAAAGAATAAAAAACTAGTCAACACCGGGGTGTCTTTTATTGGGGTCCGTCCTTTAAAATCGTCAATTTTAGTTTTTTTTAATTCAGGTGTTGGTGTTTTATTTGATACTAGGCGAAAGCTTCGAAATCCTATTCTTGGCAGTATTCTATTTAAAGATTATTTTCATGGATTTTGAAATTAGAAACAAAAAACGGTTTAATCCCTTCCCCCTGTTGCTAAACAGTCGCCCCTTCACCCACCCACCCAAATAACAAACACCTGGAGGAGTTTTTAGTATTGGGGGGGTCTTTAGTATTAGGGTACGAAGCTTCCCCCTAATACTGATTTAAAAAAAAACACACACACACACACATATATATATATATACACATATTTCTATTTCAAAATCGATCAGATTTCTTTCTTTTTAAATCCAATTAAAATATCGCAAACAAGTGGGTTCCGAAGCTTAATATCAAATAAAAACCCCCAACATAAAAAACTATGTATGTTTTTCTATTTCGAAATCGATTAGATTTCCTTTTAAAAATTAAATAAAAAATTGCCAAAAAATTCTATGTCGAAGCTTTTCCCTTATATTAAACCCTAATATAATTTTGTTTTTTTTTCCTGCTTCAAAATCGATTAGATTTCCTTTTGAAATCTAATGAAAAAAAACAAAAAATTGATTTTGAAGCTTTCCCCTAATATCAAATTAAAATCCAATTATTAAAATATGTTCAAAAATTGGATTTCGATGCTTCCCCTAATCTTGCATGAAAAATTCCAATATAAAAAACTAAATTTGTTCTATTTCAGAATCGATTAGATTTCCTTGTAAATTCAAATTAAGATATTGCCAGAAATTGGATTTCGAAGCTTTCCCCTCATATTAAACCCTCATATCAAAGACTATTTTTTCTATATCAAAATTCATTAGATTTCCTTTTGAAATCTAATTAGAATATGGTCAAAAATTGGATTTTGAAGTTTTCCCCTAATATTACATTAAAAAACCCTAATATAAAATATTATTTTTTCTTTTTTGAAATCGATTCGATTTCCTTTTAAATTGTAGTAACAAAAATAAAAACAAAAACCGGATTTCGAAATGTTTCCTCTAATATTAAATTACCAGCCCTAATATATTTAAGAAAATAAACTGTTTCAAAATCGATTAGTTTTCTGTTTAACATATAATTAAGATATTGCTAAAAATTGGATTTCGAAGTTTTCCCCTAAGATTAAATTAAAAACACTAATAAAAAAAACTATGTTTTTTCGATTTCAAGAATCGATTAGATTTCCTTTTGACATCCAGCAAAAATATTGCCAGGAAATGCCAAAAAGTGGATTTCGAAATTTTCCCCCAATATTATATAAACGTTGTAATATAAAATACTTATTTTTTCGACCTTAAAAGACCCTAGTTTAAAAAATCACCGGGGCTGACTAGTTTTTATTTTTTGGTGGTGAAATCCTGAAATGGGACCTTCATGTTTAATTTGTTTTTGAAAAGGTATCAATTAAAAGTCAAACTGGCCAGCCTGAAATTTCCCAAAATTTAACGCGGACCCTAGTAAAAGGAATCAATGTAATATTTTAGTATTTAGGGTACGTTTAGTAAAAGGAGGTGGGGATTAGTAAGGTTTTCAATTTAATATAAGGGGAAGCTTCGAAATCCAATTTGGCAAGATTTGAGTTAGATTTTGAATAGGAATTCAATCGGTTTTGAAATATAAAGTTCATTTTTTTAAACGAATGTTTTCAATTTAATGTCAGGGGGAAGCTTCGGAATCCAATTTTGGCAATATTTTAGTTAGATGTTATTTAAAAAATGTTTTCCAATTTAGTTTTTTTTAACCAAGGGGGAAGTTTCGCACCCTCATACTAAATACCCACTAAATACAAAAAACTATTCCGTGTGTTCATTATTGGGTGGGGAGGGGCAGACGGTTTATTATGACGCAGGGATTGGTCAGGCATCACTTGCTGGAATTATTGGATTCTTTTGGGATGATTGGTATGATGTTTAGTCAGGCATGGTTCCCTTCAGTCATGCACGATTTTTGCAAAAATCCTATTTAGGCACGACCCCAAAATCCCAGCCCGGCAAATTCCGGCCCGGGCCCGGCAAATTCCGGCCCGCGCCCTGCAAATTCCGGCCCTGCGTTTTTCCAAGTAAATCAGGTATTAAGTCAGGTGTAGTTACCTTTTAAGTCATTAAGGCTAGTCAGGCATGGTTCCAGTGGGTACCTTTTAATTGTGAAGGCTAGTCAGGCATGGTTCCCTGAATTCAGGGGCATGGGTACCTTTTAATTATGAAGGCTAGTCAGGCATGGGTTCTGTTAAGTCAGGCGTGGGTGGGTACCTCTTAATTATGAAGGCTAGTCAGGCATGGTTCCCTTAAGTCGGGTGTGGTTACGCTTTAAGTCATGAAGGCTAGTCAGGCATGGGTACCTTTTAAGTGATGAAATCTGAATCAGGCGGAGCTCCTATTCTAAATGTGTTAAATCCAATTGTTCAGTGTGGAAAATCGATTTTTTGGCTGGTCTACGGGCAAACCCTGTGTCTTCCAATACCATAGCGTGCTGATGTCGCTTGCCTGCATAATAGTTAAGGCCAAAGCTTAGGTCATCAGTGTGATCCTGAAATGGCGCCACGACCAAGAAGATGACATGTGTAAAATGGGCCCTGGATTAACAAAGGCTGACTAATGAATTTGGAGGATGCCACTAAAGTATGACATGTAATCACTTTTGAGGAGCACTCTATGGCACGCAGCGCGCGCAGCCTGCTTTACGGTTTAGCGTTTGAAAGTTTTAGGCTTTGCCTCTATGGCACGCAGCGTTTGAAAGTTTAACCGTTTACCTCTATGGCAGGCTGTGCGCGCAGTACGCGTTACGGTTTAAAGTTTGAAAGTTTTAGGGTTTATGTGTGTGGCACGCAGTGCGTGCAGCGCGCATTAGGGTTTAGGGTTTGGAAGTTTTATAGTTTATTTTATTGCATGCAGCGTGCACAGCGTGGGTTGAACTTTAGGGTTTCGAAGTTTTAGGGTTAACCTCCATGACACG